ACTCTGCCTCGGGGCGGGTCCCCTATTCCGGGAGGAGAGGGGGTTGCAACAGATCCCTCCGCCCACCCACCTCCTTAGCCCCTGGGCCAATGACGGATTCCAAGTTTTCATGCACCCAGCATCCTTTTGCAACTTAATTCTTTCGGCCTAAATCGCCCTCCCACTGCTCCTCAACGCATGCTCGCGGGCATGCAGTTGCTGCCACTGCTCGCAAAGTTTGAAGAGGGAGGGGTCCGTACTCCTGTACCCCTCCCCACTCCGCTTTCTCCAGCAAACACCCGGAGCCCCGGGACATGCAAAGCTCGCCGATGCTGGGAAACGCCCGCTTTAGTCCCCTTGACCCTGCCCTGTAACTGACCCTTGGGGAAAAGCCCCCTGCACAGCTACTGCGCATGCTCTGAGCTGGACAGCTCCAGAGAGGGAAATTTAAAAACGGTTCGAGCTGCGACGGCGGCCAAATTGCGGAACGCGAGGGGCGAGCGCGAGGGAGCCCCCCTCCGGAACCCCCGCCCGCCCCAGGAGCGCCGGCAGCGGCGGCCCCGCGAGGATCGGCTCCAGGTACCGCCCTGCAGGGTCGGCTTTGCTCCCTCCATCCGGCCAGCGCCTACATCTCTTTTCCAGGGTAGAGACCTGGGCGCAGGGGCTGAACCGGAGTCTCCCTCTGCTCCCCTTTCTCCTTCCCCGGAGTCCGTCGATGACCTCAGGGGCGGAACTGAGAGTCTTTGGTGGGTTTCTATAGTCATTTCAAGCTAGGAATTTGAGGAACTTGGGAACCTTGAAGATTTCTTAAGGCTGTGTTTGTGTGTGGCCAAGGTGGGGTGGGGGGTGTGGATTGCTTTTTCCACAAGAGCATGGGGCGTTTCTGAAGGCATCTCTAAAAGGGATCCCCGCGGGGATGGTTCCCTTTGCAGTGGGAACTTGGCTCCCCCAGAGAAACATACGTCGGGTTGCCCGTTTTTTGTTTATGCTTTATTTGTAAAGAGAACATACCTTAACTGAAGTAGAAAATACACGGCTTGGGAGAGAATAAGGTTTTCCTGATCCCTATGTTGAAATCTGACGTTTCCCAACGTTTGACATTTGGATTCTAGAGAATTCCCTCCGCCCTTCCCCCATTAATTTGAAAGAATCTGGAATTTCATCACTTTCCTCTCCATTTGCTTCTAAAACCCTGTAGAATTGCTCTAGAGAAAATGAGCTGTTATGCCCAAATCTTCTAGTGCCTTTTTTTGTTTTCTTTAAAGGAAAAAAAAAAGGGGGGGGTGAGTTTGAGCTCCATCCTTCTGAATGGTGGGAAAACCAAGGGTCTCTGTCCCGTCCACATCGTGTTGATGGGACCTTTGTTTTCTGCTTATCTTTCCCTCAGGGAGATGATAGAAAGTGACATTTCGTCCATAATGTCAGGAATTATTCGAAACTCTGGGCAAAATCATCACCCCTCTCCACAGGAATACAGGTGAGGGCTTTGGCGATAATCAACACTTGATTTTGTGTTTGCTGAAAGTGTTCACACGCCGTGTACGGTCTCAGAACTGCCCGAGAACTCACGATTCGTTCGATTCTGTGATTTTGCAGGGGAATGAGGTCTTGATTTCAAAGTTGGCCTCTCTGAGTGTGTCTGGACCTGTGGTCTTAATGTTCTGTCCCAGTGGGTCCACTGAATGTCTGCAGTCCTTTGTCCCCCTACCCCCCTCACTCTGCCAAGCGAGGTCCCCTCCTGGGTTAGAGACCCTGCATCCCCATGAACATTCAGATGACAATAGCAAGGATTGCTTCTCTTCCTGTGGCCTGAGTGGGGACTCCAGGGAATACCCCCACCAAAGCTTTCTGGGGTGAGGTGGCGGGATGGGGGGTTGGCTTCCATCTTTCATGGATATTAGAAAAGCTGTCAGTCAGAACTTCTGGGTTTTTGCCCTAGCTGTGTGGCTTTCAACAAGTCCTTTGCCCTCTCTGGGCCCCATTTTCTCATCATTTAAATGATGCTGTTGAATTAGATGATCTTAAGGCCTCTTCTAGGTCTCATGTGTTCAAAGAGGAAATTAGATGGAAACTGAAGACATAAGTATCAGCACAAGATGAAGCCATAAGAGGGTGGGGGAGCAGTTGCTACCCTTTTTGTTGTCAAAACTTAAAGACTAGAATAGCCCTTAGGGAGTCAACCAGCCCAGTCTCCTTCTAAGATGGGGAAACTGAGGTCAAAAGAGAAGGGGCGAGACCAGCAGGTGGTGTGGTGGTTAAGGCGCTGGACACTCCCACATGGCCAACCAGGGTTCGAGTCCTGAATCTGGTAGCTTGCTTTCTCACTTCCTCTCTCTCTCACTCTCACCCTCTGTCTCTCTCTGGTCAAATTAAAAAACTAAGTGAATGAATAAATAAAATTAAATAAATAATTATTTTTTAAAAGAGAGAGAGAGAGAGAAGGGGCTTGTCCAAGGTCTCAGTGACTGGGAAGGAGGAGGAAAGGGAGGCCCCGCTCAGCCTCTCTCCCTCAGCCTAGGGAGACCTGACCTGGTTCCCAGAGCCCCACCCCCAAGGCAAGCACCATGTCTAGGGGTAGAGGGGACAGATTATGGCATGAAGACAGGGCCAGGCTGGCCTGGGAAGAGCAGGCTGTCACCTCGGATCAGCCCTGTTTACCCAGGGGCTGTCTGGCCCCCCGGGGCCACTGCAGCTCACCAGCAAGGCCTGCTGGGCCAGACAGCAGCCCCCAATTAGAGGGAGGCTGCCTTCTGAGATCCAAATGAGGCTGTGACTTTTTAAAAATTTTTGAAAAAAGAATTATTTAATTAATTAATTATTATTTTAATTTGATCAAAGAGAGAGAGAAAGTTGGGGGTTGGGGGAGTGAGAAAGCAAGCTGCCAGGCCTGGGACTTGAACTGCGATCAGACATGTGAGAGTCTAGCACCTTAACCACCATGCTACCTGAGGCTGTGAACTCTTGCAGGGAGCCTGCTGTGTGCAGTTAGGACCAGGTACATAACAGTTTGGAAACACCTAGTGTGTGCCAGCCCCCATCACTCACCTCAGCCTCAGGAGGCTGCTCTGACGGCCTCATGGTACAGGTGAGGAAACCGAGGCCCAAAGAAATCAAATGGCTTTCCCCAAGACCCCGGTCAAGGACTACTGGGTTTCCTTCTGGCACTAAAGGGGTTTAGATACCAGTAGGGGGGTGGGGGGCAGTAGGAGTTTTAGCAGCTTGAGTTAAATGGATTTTGGGAATCTGTTATCATCCCAGGATCTCTGACTATGTGGAGCTCTCTGAGCCTCAGTTCCTCACCTGTAAAATGGGGACAGAAACTGTAACCACGACACGGAGTTGTTATGAGGTCTACATAACCACTTCTGACTCCAACTCTGCCACATGCCAGTTGAATGAGCCTGGGCAATCTCCCCTGGGAACTTGTGTCTCTCTGTACAATGCGAACACTGGAAACTGACCTCTTGTGGGCCAAAAAACATGCTCTCTGTGAACCTGGCACCAGCGGGCACTGCACGCAGGCAGGTGACTCCACCTCTGCCCCTCTCTCCTCTCCCGGCAGCAATCCTGAGAATGGCTGGTCCCTCCCCTGGGCTGGCTCTTAAGAGCTCAAAGACACAGATTCTTATCATTGCCTAAAAGTGCCCCACGTAAGCACTGGAGGTAGGGAACTCAGAGGGCTAGGAGTCAGACACCTGCAAGTTAGAAACCCAGCTTTGGGGAACCAGCAGTTAGCATAATGGCTATGTTGCTGGACTCCCACGTAGTTGACCGCTGCGGTTCGCGTCCCGGACCCGGTGGCTTAAAATTCACGCCGGGCACGTGTGTGTGTGTGTGTGTGTGTGTGTGTGCATGCCCAAGATCCCTAGAGGAGAAGGGATTGTGGCGTGACCATCCCCCCTGGGGGGTGATTTCTCACTTTCTGTCTCTATGTCTCTCTCTGTCTGTCTGGTGAGCACATGCGCCCTATAGTGAAAACCTCTCCCCCCCCCCAAAAAAAAAGAAAGAAACCCAGCTTTGGACAGGCATAGGACTGACCTGGTTTTCTCATTTTAAAGTGGGGATGGTTGGGGCAAAGGGCCTCGAGTGGTTGCTGGGAGGATTAAGTCATAAAGCTCATGGAGCAGAGATGCTTAACTACCAATTGTTGCTTTTACCAGTTGGTTATGGTAGAGTGCTTTTTTTTGTAAGAGACAAGTTTGTGGAGGGCCTTCCGAGTAGGGAGTGTGGAAGAACTGCGTCTAGGGTAGGGTAGGGGGCAGAGGGTGGAATCGCTGAATTCAGGCACTCAGGTGTGACCACGAACAGTCTGGAACACGGGTAGCTGCCCTGCTCCCGATACATGGCAGGCAGAAAGCTTCCTTGGGGGCCAGGCATGCCCACCCAGTTCACTGGCCAGCTGGCAGGGGTGAAGGCTGCAGGAAGTGTGGGGGGAGCTGGCTTGTCCCCCTCAATATTGGATCTAGAGGTGCCAGGGTATCTTTGCCTGGCACAAAGTTTCCTAGTCACAGGGATTCAGGGCTGTTTTCTTATATGGAAGGTCAGTGGTATCCACAAGGCAGAATAATATAATAATAGCAATACCAATAACAACAATAATAATAATAGCAGCTGGCCATGGCTTCTTAACCCTTTACGTTCGCCTCTCCTGGGTCAGACTCTCAGCATAAATCCCCGAACCATCCCTCGAGGCTAGCACTCTTGTGCCCACTGGAGGGATGCAGAAACCAAGGCTCAGCCAGCTCAAATGGCTTAATGAGGTGACAGGGCTGATGCCGGCTCACTTGGGGCATCAAATCTGAAACTGCTGTACCCCAAGAGCTGGGGCCAGTAGCCCCGCACCCTGCGGGCAAAGAACATGGGTACCAGACCCAAATAAGCTGCTTCCTCACCTGATGGTTCCGTGGCCTGGACAAGTCACTGCCCTTCGCTGAGCCTCAGTTTCCTCATCTGTGAAGTGGAGCCATCGGAGAAGCCCGCCTCTCGGGTTGTTGGGAAGACTCTGCTTCTCCGCTGGAGTGCAGCGTCCACCCGGCCTGGGACCAGGAGGGGCAGTTTATGATTATGCAATAACTTGCTGCTTCTAACCATCCCATTTCTCTCCAGGCAGACCAGCCCAGGAGACATTTATGAGCTTCTTCTCCCCCTCCCATGTCCCCCGAGAATGGCTGCAAGGATCTAGCGGCCCCAGCCTCTGTCCAGCCCCCATCCAGCCGCCTGGCCCTCCATCCCCTGGGGCCAAGTCGGCCGTTAACTTTCAATGGCTGTGTGTCCGGAGGGCGGGAGCAGCAGCTGGAGGTGGCCACCCTGTCCCCAGGGAGCTGTCAGGAGTCAGTGGTGGAGCCCAGACAGCAAATTGGCAGCAGTTTCCCCGCCCTCTGATGCCTGGGTGGAGGGGGAGAGTGGGGGGACTGGGGCCAGTCAGGACCTCAGACCTCACAGTTTCTTCTTAGCTCAAAGGGTGGGTGGGAAGCCCCTCCTTAGAAGGGCTAAGAAACAGAGCTATTGAGCTATGAAGCACCTACAGTGCCAGGCACCTGCTAGGCTCCTTAGAAAGTGCTCATCCCATTCCACCTTCATTTTTGTTTGTTTATTTTTAAAATTGGCAGGGGTGGGTCCAGCAGGTGGTGTGGTGGTTAAGGCACTGGACACTCCCACATAGCCAACCATGGTTCGAGTCCTAGACCTGGTGGCTTGCTTTCTCACTTTCCCTCTCTCTCTCTCTGGTCAAATTAAAATAAATGGATGAAAAAAAAATAAATAGATGAATGAATAAATAAGATAAAGTAAATAAGTCTTTAAAAAAATTGGCAGAGGGTGTATGTGTTCACCTGACAGAGAAGGAGAGACTGGTGGGGGTGGGGGAGAAAGCACCCCCTAATGGGGCATGGCCACACTGCAATCCTTTCTCCATTAACCAGGATCTGAGGCAGGCATACACACCTGCTCCACTTTTAAAAAAAATTACTTATTTTATTTTATTCATATTATGATTATGATGATTATTATTTTAATTTGACTAGAAAGAGACAGAGAGAGAAAGGAAATGTGAGAAAGAAAGCTACCAGATCCGGGACTCAAACCGTGGTCCAACCACATGGGAGTCCAGCATCTCAACCACCGTTCCACTTGCCAGCCCCTGCTCCACTTGTTTTTCACACTGGGCCCGGAACTGAACAGTGGTGGCCTGTGTCAGATGCAGCTCCTTTAAGCAGTAGGCCATGGAGCTGGCTCTCCCCACTTATTTTTTTCTTTTTAGTTTTTTTGCCATAGGGCATGTGCGCTTGCTGGAGAAAGAGAGAAGGAAAGTGAAAAATCACACTCCAGGGGGATGGCCATGCTGCAATTCCTTCTCCTCCACTGCACACATGCATGCACATGTGCCTAGTGTGATTTTCAAGCCACCAGATCTGGGACTTGAACCCCAGTCAGCCATGTGGGAGCCCAGTGCCTTAACCACCATGCCACCTACTGCCC